CCAACGATCCAAAACCCTGAACCCAAAAACCCTAAACCCTGAACCCTAAAACCCTAAACCCTGAACCCTAAAACCCTAAACCCTGAACCCTAAAACCCTAAACCCCGAACCCTAAAACCCTAAACCCTGAACCCTAAAACCCTAAACCCGAGCCTAAAAGTCTCGACTCTTTAAAAGCCCTGAAGCCTTGCCAGGAGCGCGTCTTCGCCTCAAACCTGGCGTTGAAGCTGGCGGACCATGCGAGGGACTGAGAGCGCTCGACTGGATTTAGGGTTTAGGGTTCAGGGTTTAATATAGACTTCAGAGAGACCTCGTTCAAAAAAACTGTTTAATATAATTAGGGGCTCAACAATTAGAATAAGGTGTGGGGCATATTATACTATAACTATAACAAAGAGCCCCCCCCAAAAAAACCTTATTCTAATTACTAGGCCCCTGCATTATGGTTTGGGGATCGGTAGCTCCCGACAAGGCGAGGCCGCTACAAAATGGCCTGGGGATCTCCAAGGGTTCTGTGTCACTTGGGTAGTTCTCTGAATTAGGGACCCTTTTCGGGTCCTCAATATAGTACGGCACCCTTATAAAAAGGACCCTAGAAGGGTACCCTAATTTGGAAAACTACCTACTTGACATTCCTCCGAAACACACTTTATTAAACTGCAAACCCTGGACTAGTGCTCTTTGGCTTAACGGGTTTGGTTTTCGTTTTGTTGGAGTAAATCAGTCTTGCTAGATTTGCTTCTGTGGTGCAAGAGTGATTGCTGCTTCAGAAAGTAGTCGAGCTGGCGTAGTTGGACCCAGAGACCTCGTCTGGCGGAGTCTGAGTTGTGAGAGCGTAAACAAGTGCGACTTGTTCAGCTGGCCGGGTGGGAAGAACTACGTAGAGCATGTCGCACTCTTCTCTGTGCAGCCCCTACTAGGGACTGGAGTTGGCGGAGTGAAAGGGGCCGGCTGCACTCAAGAAGCCCTACACCCTACTTGGAGGTTCATGGGCCGTTTTAAGTGGGATTCTAAGCCCCCTAATATGGGTTATAAGTAGAGTCACCCTACTCATAACCCCAATTATAACCCTAAACCCTAAACCCTTATAGTCTGAATGTTGATGTAGAGAAAGCTTGTCAAATTGAGTGCAACTGATACTGACGCTGTTTACTGTAATTAGGTGCTAGGTTGATGCTGTCCTTTGAAACCTCGCCTGTGAGCATCGTTCTCTGCCATGCGAGAGGGAAAAAAACCCTTATAGTAGCCCTTATAGTAACCCCAATTATAACTACCCATGAACCCCCAAGATACGGGGTCTTTGGGGTCTTTCGGCCGCCGAGGCACTGCGGCACTGCCCCGAGAACTGCCAGGTTTTCGTGGAGAAGCTCGGCCTGAAGGCTCGAGAGGGTTCCTTCCTTGGAGGTTTTTTTTGGGTAGTTATACTTGGGGGTTACTATAAGGGTTTGGGTTTAGGGTTTAGGGTTTAGGGTTCATGGGTAGTTATAATTGGGGTTATAAGTAGGGTAATTAACTATGCTTATAACCCATTTTAGGGGGCTTATAATTCCACTTAATTATAACTACCCATGAACCTCCAAGTACGGTTTAGGGTAAAGAGTTTTAAGTCAAGGACTTCTAAAAGGGATCCAGAAGCCGTAGAGGGGGTCTTGGGGCTTTCGGGGGGCATTCTGAGGGTAACCAGAAGATTGATTAACTTCAAAGCCTCTAGTAGGTTCGAAAACCCGTCTTGGACAGCAGTCGGGCACTTTTTTTAGGGCTTCGGGTTTCTAGGTCTTTGTTGGATACAATTTGACATTTTCGGTATAATAAAAACACAAGAAGGATTAAACATGATCCTTTTTAATGTGCCCCCCAACAGGGAATCAGGTTTGGGCAGGGCTTTCAACTGGGTTTTCGGAGCTTTCAGGTCGGTGGGGTGCCTTTCGGATTTGTTCAGGGTTTTCCCAGGTTTCTTAGGGCTTTCAGCGGGTTCCTGACCTTACTAGGTCGGGCACACTTTTTTCCGTGCCATCATTACAAGCTAGGCTTTTCCGGGCTAGGGTACTGAGCCCTGTGTTGAGGGTTGGCCCTTGCCACTCGGGCCCTCCTGTCAGACTCGTTTGAAAAGGAGCATTGATTCCCCGCTTCAGCTGGAATATGCGGTCGTGTATCCCTCCCACCACAAGTACGGCCACCACTGTGCGCTTACTCTCTGTCTCTCTTTCTTTTCTCTGCTGCATGAACAAATGCAAAGAGTGTGGCAACGACTGACTGTTGGACAAGTAGGCAGCTACGACGTGAGCACAATCGCGGCTTGTCAGTTGACAAGCGACTTCAGAAGTTTGTGCTTTATTGGGCAGTGAATCTGGCGCAAAGAGCTCCACAGATGATACAGGAGCACAAGCAAGCTCGAGAAGACACCAGGTGTGTTTTCAGTCATTTCGCATATATGTGCACACACAAGAATACAGACTCTGCCTGCAAAGCGCACCCCCGTACATCCCTTTAAGATGCGAGGGACTCTCTCTCTCTCTCTACACTACCACTTCCTGAAGATCGAAAGCCGAAAGCCTTCAAGCAAAGTGGGAGGTCTTGTTCGCCATCTTCATGAAGCGAGGCAGAAAGCATTCACCAATGCCTGTAGGCATCAGACTTTCGAGGGGGAAGTGATTCCAGGGTTTACCTTAGGGTGGTGGTTTTGGGGTTGGACGTCGACGTTTGGTGCAGCTGGATCCCGAATAGAGATGAAGAAAATCAGGTCGTGGTGCTTGTTCCGTTTCTGTCACTGAAGGAGCGAAGACCAAAAAGGAATCGGAGGCAAAGGAGTTGGAGGAGCATGCTCCCTGAACGCACTAGTCACTGGACCAGGAACGGGCCCCGAAGAGGCTGTAGCACAGAGCCAGATTTTCCAAGGTGACCTCCATCGTCCAGTCGCTCTGCAGATACTGCACAGGGACGCCTGTAGCCCGCGTGCTGAACAAGTTTGTGCCCTGCCTGAAGTGAGGAAGTACCGAACACTTTTCAGCTTATGATCACTGAAGCCTCTGGACTGGAGCCATTTGCTGGCGACTTTGTGTTTTTTTTGGTGCTTGACGCTCTCCACAGGACTCGCCTGGATGATGCTTGAATCCATCTGCCCCTGTTAGAGGTCGAGAACCAGTTCGAGAAGCTGGAGCGGCTGCTGGAGATGCACGAGGACGGCCAGCCATGCAAGCCAGGTCTTGTCTGAAGCTTCCCTTGCCGCGGCTTTGCTGGAAGAAGCCAGGTCTGCCCCTCACAAGCAGCCAAGTTTCCACACTTGCGGCTGAAGTATCAAGTTTGCGTAGTTTGCGTGGAGTGGGTGGAGAGCCGACCCCGGCGTGAGGAGTACAACCGCTCAGTCAAGGCCGCAGATGAGGCGGCTCAGCTCTTCTCTAAATGGGTAGTTCTCTAAAATAGGGTCCCTTTCTGGGTCCCCAACATATAGTACGGCGCCCTTGTAAAAAGGACACCAAAAATGCAGACACAGAGACTTACCAACAGACATCCGAGGTTGAAGTCTCCCCCCCGGGTCCTAAATCCGAAACCTTCAATCTTAACATCATGTATATCACAAACAACCACATATAACATACTTATAACTTGCTGTACTACAAGATATAGTATCATGAACTAGAATCATGTAGATTGTAGTCAGTCGCACAAAATGTACTTGCCACCTAGTGCAATACAGACTACTCAACTGATACATAACCTATAAAGGTAGTTCTCTAAATGAGGGTCCCTCTTCCAGCCCCCACAATAGTACGGCACCCTTATTAAAAAAGGGTTCCTAGCAGGGACCCTAATTTAGACAACTACCCAGAAACCCTAAACCCTAAACCCTAAACACTAAACCCTAATTTAGACAACTACCAAAAAAGTATTGAGCCGAAAAATTCTGAGGCCCGAGACCAGGGCCTCGCGCAGAAGATCGACCGAGAGTCCCTACGCTCAGGGGCTGGGGCTGCTGGTTTCGGGTTTTTAGGGCATAGGGCGACACGTCCAGGCGGGATTAAAGCAAGCCTGTGCAAAAAAAAGGGCTTAGGGTTTAGGGTTTTAGGGCTTAGGGCTTGGGGTTTAGGGTTTTTTGGGGCATGACAGGTTCCAACTTTGCGGATCGGGGGTTTTAAGAAAAGGGTTGGCGCGTGGGTGCCAAGAGGAAGCTCGAAGCATCTGAACAATTGGAGACGGCAGACAGCCATAGACTTGTGTGCAAGAGTTTCTTTTGGTTGTGAGTCATGTCCTGACTGCTAACTTACTGCTTCTTTAGCCGGATGCGTTGCGAGTGTTGCTGGCTGATGTGGACCATGGCCTTCAGCACTTCCGCAGGCATCGCTACAGGGCCCGCCTCAAAAACAGAGCGGAGCGCTTCAACCGGTTCTACGTACTGCGTAGCAGACCGAAAAATTTGCCGACCTACCCGTCTTCGCGCCTGAATATAAGACTTCAGCCCTTCCAATGCTAACATCTCCGACCACATGCCTGTTTTGACCGGGTATCCCTTGATTTTGGACTTCGGACGTGACCCAGGCTGGAAGTAAACGACGAGGAGCTGGGGTGGAGGGGCGGACTTCTGTGTGAATTGCTCGAGGTTTCGAGTTTTAGCGTTCGAGGGTGGTACGGGCCCAGTATGTCACGCGTTGGTCACACTACTACCGATAGCAATGGTTCGTATTGCAGGTCGAAGACCATCAAGGCAACATGCAGTCGGAAGTCTTGTTGGCACCAGAACTTGCGATGAGACGTGACTTGCTCTCTGGGCAGTGCCAATATGTGCCAGAGATCTGAAGCTTCCAAACCCGAACGTGCAAGCCGTACCATGAACGATTGCACAGGGCAAACCCCAGAGCTTCGCGGAATCTGGATTTCACCCGCAGCTAGTAAGTGAATCTCGAGGGCATTGTCGAATGTTGAATGATGTGGTGTTCCCGGCTATTTCGGTTTGTGTCTCGGTTTTGTTGAACGAAATCAGGTTTCCCGCACATCGTTTCAGGACCTGATCTGTTTTGGCGTCGTGCGGTGCCACTAGTAGCAGGGAGCTCGCCTAGAGAGAGAGAGAGAGAGAGAGAGAGAGAGAGAGAAAAAGAGAATTTTCAGAGTGTTTCAGGAACACAAAACACCTGGCGGAACTTCTGGTTCTCAGGGCTTCATGGGTGCTGGGCTGCTTGGAAGTCTGGGATGAACAATCTTGCCCTTAGCAGAGTGAGGACTTCGGGTTCCGCCGGCAGGAGCAGCTCTTTCTGGATCGCTGCGATGCCGGTCTCTTCACTCTGCAGCAGGCGGGCCACCAAAGCCCGAAAGCCGAAACCCACCGGATTGGAGGGGTTTGGCAACAGCTGGGCAGGACAGGAAGGTTCAATCCCGAAACTTTCAATCCCAAGCTGCATAGCGGCCTACAGCGGCAGTGGCTTCCTGTCCGGCTCAAGTACCTGGGGCCCGGGATTCCGGGTTCAGACTCCGACATGAGCCTTTAGGCTGTGGGCTTATGGGTTGGGTTTAGGGCTCTGGGTTCAGTGATTCAGCGACGAGAGAAACGCATTCACAAAGAGGTTAGTGGGTAAGGTAGGTAAGCACAGTCATCAGAAAGTACCGAAGGCGTCGGATAGGAGTATGACCCAAGCTATCATCGAAGGAGAGCCCTAAACCCTAAACCCTAAACCCTAAACCTCCTGGGCGGGTGGGAAAAAACCCTAAACCCTAAACCCTAAACCCTAAACCCTTAAATGCCCAAAGCAGAATCCTTGACAACCCCATCTATACCGCCTACAATGAAAGACCCAACAGGTGGACCTGATCCTGGTCCGACTGGAGCCCTGGCTTATAGTATATTATAGAAGATTTCTAGAATATTAAATTATATATATATATATATACACACTCTTCAATAGAATAATGCAGTATACATCCCCTCAAAAGCATTTTGAGGGCTCGGAAACCTTACGCTTGAGCTCGTAAACCCTCAAACTCCGGGTTTCGAGATCTGATCTGAGCCCCTTCGCCTAGAGGATCTGGGATTCTGTGAAAGGAAACTACAGGTGAGGAGTTTAGGGTATATAGGGCTTCTATAAGCCTTCTATAAGGTATATAGACCTTCTATAAGGCTCCTATAACGGTAACTGCCCACCAGAAAATGTCCTGGATTCTGCAGGGTTCGAGGGCTCAAGGCGTGGAGTGCTTGGGGGCTTTGGGGGATTTACGCTACCTAAACAGCCCATGCCTCGATACCCCAACTCGGGTGTAGAGAGCTTCAGACGGGCCACGGTCCCCCAGGGTTTAGGGACGATGCCGGGGTCGGGGGCCGTTCAAAGTATAAGGAGGTCGGCTTTGTCATTCGACTTCGGAAGCTGAGCTCTAGATGGGTTTTTCCGCAAGAATCTGGGACTCGACTAAATCCGTCGAGTTCTTGGAGTTCGTATCTAGTCGAACCTTTAGGTGTTTGGGTTTCGATTTCACCCCACGGCTCAACGCTGATCCCGAACCGGACACCTTGAGAGCGCCAGTGTGGGTCTTTGCCTGGATCGTCGAAGCTCTCAGAGAGACACCCCACAGCCTCGAGGATCTAATTTTTGAGCAGTTCACAACAACCCGAGACACGTGAATTCCTCATGCATTTGTGCTGGCATCGCGTTGTTATCGTCATTCTGAGGTTCTAGCCTTCAAGCCTTGACCCTCCGAGCAGGCCGTAGCAGCCCTCATCCCACCCCCAGGGCTCTGCAAAACACCAAGAGCACATTTGGCGCCTAATTACTGCCTGAGCTGGACTGCCCCAACCTGATATGTGTTATCCTTGAGCCTAAACCAACCTTTGGAGCGGAGGTGGGATTATGGAAGAGCCGGCCGAAACATTTCCAAAACATACCGACAAGATCCCGTAAAGCCCAGGTGAACATGGGAAATCGGCAGGCCAGCGAGGAGACACTTGGCATCCGTTTCCACTCCGAGCAGGGTGAGGCATCTTCAGGTTCACAGGGGCTGAGGGGCCAAACGGCTTGGGGAATAAACATAGTATAGTATATTATAGTCTATATGATAGTCTATGATAGTATATGCTATTCTATACTATTGTATATGCGATTACATACTATTATATGATAGTATACTATGAAGGTTACATTGCTGGTTTGCGGTTGAGGGTGAAGCCCGAATAGCTTCCTTTACCCCCTGCCAGGGTTCAGAACTTTGAAGCAGAGGTTTCTGAGGCCATGAGCCCTGCTACCGCGCTTGAACAACGGAAGCTTCTTCTCAAAATCCTGGCCCCAAACCCCAAGCCCTGAACCCGATGTGAGCTTGGATTGTGCGGAGCCTTTGCCGTGTGCGAGCGTGAGGGTCGAAAAGGCCAAAAACAGGCCAAAACACCAGCTCTCAGAACCCGGAACGGAAGCCTTGAAGCCCTGTGAGGCCGAAGTTCACACCCCTTCTGAAATCCCTTCCACCGAAAACTTCTTGGAGACTTTCTGTAGAAGCCTGTGGTTCTGGAAGACCTACTTGGAGGTTCATGGATAGTTATAAGTGGGGTTATAAGTCCCCTAATATGGGTTATAAGTATAGTTACCCTACTTATAACCCCAATTATAACTACCCATGAACCTCCAAGTACAGAGATTCTGGGCCCAGGATCGGCAAGTTGATGGATGCCAAGGGAGTCAAGCTCAGCGAGGTCCGCGACGTCCTCGTGGAGTATTGCACCCCGCCTTCCTTTGGGAGTTTCCGAAAATAGGGGTGCCTTATTTTGGGGGTCCTTATAATAAGGATCCTACTGTTTAGGGTACTATATTAGGGTCCCCTATTTTCGGAAACCCCCATTTGGGACTGTGCTTGGAAGTTGGTTGCCAAGGCAACAGCTCCATTTTGGGATTTTTGCTTGTAGTTCGGTTGCCGACGTAATTTTGCAGGGTTCTCAAGGTTGTGCAACCGTCTTACAAGGGGTTTCCTGAAACTCGCAGGCAACTCTAAGAAAGATGATCATATTGGCTGCTAACCCTAAACCCTAAACCCTAAACCCAGGAACCTCGCCTAGGCATGTCCGAGAGTGAGTGCTGAAACCCTAAACCCCAAAACCCTACGGTTCGGGGTGGCGCGTGCCTGGGGAGTTCGGGGTGCCCCGCCAACTCGACGGCGCAGTGACGATGTCTCCTGCGCTTCGATAGACTGATGCGAAGGCCCGTGTAGATCCGGTGTAGGAAGGAGGAATGAAATCATAATCCAGAGACCCTACGAGGCCCTACTACATCACCTCTGAGCCTTAACTAATCCATTCCCTTGTAGCCTCTGGCATTTGGGTAGTTTTCTAAATTAGGGGTCCCTTTTTAGGTCCCCAATACAGTACGGCACCCCTATAAAAAGGACTCCAAAAGGGACCCTAATTTAGAGAACTACCCATGTCGTATTAAAAATTTCATTGGATCCCCGAGGCAAGAACCTTGGAAAGGCCGCTCAGGAAGAGAGACTCCTGGCCGTTTAGGGTGTGGGGTTTCTTGGAGGTTCCTGGGTAGTTATAATTGGGGTTTGTGAGTAGGGTAGCTATACTTATAACCCATATTAGGGAACTTATAACCCCACTTATAGCTACCCATGAACCTCCAAGTAAGAGTTGCCTTTCAGGATTTATTTGCTTTTGGTTTTCGGGTTTTAGGAGGTTTTAGGGTGTAGGGGCGACCAAGAGCTCTGGAGGGAGGGAGGGAGAGAGAGAGAGACTCACAGAGGGTGTAGGCGTGGTAGGGTTTAGGGCTTCAGGATGTTGAGGGTTTAGGGTTTAGGGTTTAGGGTTTCAAAAGGGCTTCAGGATGTTGCGGGGGTGTAGGGCTTTTTGATCTGATCTTGGAGGGTTCGGATTTTGGGTGTAGGGTTTGAAGGTTCTCTTCATGGATGCTCGTGATGAAGTGAGCCACTGAACCGGAGACCACACCTCGGGAGTCGGAGTTTGGGATCTAAGGCTTACCTATAGTCTCCATTGTAGTTCCTTTTTGGGGATACCTTATAAAATCGTTAATATATATTTTGTTAAACCAAAAAAAGGAACTACAATGGAGGCTACAGGTAGGGCTTAAAAGATTAGGGCCCCAACTGTCACACGAAACTGCATTCCAGAATAGATGCCTTTGAGCAGGGGCATGCCTGGATCGTCCGGCGTGCGCCACATTCTTGCAAGCAAGTCCCTTCAGTCCGCACCCGAAGCCCTAAGCCCTGAAGGTTCTCAGCTAGGTAGTGAAGTGCAGTAGGACCTTGGTGCATGGAAAGCCGCCTCTTTGGCAGGTTTTCTAGCATTGATTGGTTGTGTGTTGATATGGCTTGCCTCTAGTGACTCTAGTAATGTTTCATTCCTGTTACACCTCGAACCGCGTGCCTCCTGGAGTGTGCGAGTATGAGCGCCGACACCCTGAACCCTACACCCTGAACCCTGAAGACTGAACCTTCAGCCCAAAACCCAAAACCCTAAGCCCTACGAGTATGGGACGGGTCCTCCACCCGAATAATTCCCTAAACCACCAGAAGCCCTAAACCCTAAATTCACGGCTTGTCCCAGTTCTGAGTGCCGAAACCCTAAACCCTAAAGGGAAAACCCTAAACTAGCCCTAAACCCTAAACCCGAAGCCCTAAACCCTAAACCCCTAAACCCCTAAACCCCTAAGCCCTAAACCCTAAACCCTTAAACCCTAAACCCCTAAACCCTAGATTCAGGAAAAGAGGTGATGTCCTACCTCCGTGCGATGATGACCAGGCCTGGGCTGCCTTTTCCTCTGAGGCGCCGGCTTTTTTCGGATTTTGGCTTTCCGAGTCTACTTGGAGGTCCATGAGTAGTTATAAGTGGGGTTATAAGTCCCCTACTATGGGTTAGAAGTATAGCTACCTTGCTTGTAGCTGAATTTATAGCTACCCATGAACCTCCAAGTAGGCTTCAAAAAGGTGTCCGGGCCCTGAAATCCCCCCCCATCTTCAAGAGACCCTCAATGCGTAAACCGTAAACCCTCAACCCTAAAGGCACCAGCGAGCTGCGCCCTTGGCAGGTTGATTTTTTGTTTTTGCGAGAGTGGACCTCTTCCGGGTTCCCTCCGCCTTTGCCCACGCAAAAACAAGCGCTCCTTCCACCTCCGCCTTTGGGCTCGACAGATGGGGCGGAACCGATGTGGGAAAGACCCCGAATGATAGTCTCCCAGAAGCCTTAACCGCGCCGTCCGAAGCCCGAAGCAGGCCCCAACTCCAACTGCTTCGTGGAGTCACATGGAGCCTTCCCCAGCGCCTTTAGAAACATAGCCTGGAAAGGTACACCTCGCATCGCTGAAAGGCTTTCATGGAGCCGGAGTTGTATACTTGGAAGTCCCCAAGCCGACCCAACCAAAAAAAGAGTTTGTACAGCCGATGTCTACCATCTCTTACTCAAGAGCTTCCTTTTCGGAAGGGTTCGAAATCGTAGTACTCCTTGCCTCCATGGCGGCCGCTCTGCGATGTCAGGGGACGATGACACTGAGCTCAGGATCTGGCAGCTTGGGCCAATAGTGGAGCAGCATGAGGGGCAGCCATCGCGCGAGCAGCCACTCCGTGGTCAGCGTGGGGCCCCCAAAGAACAAATGCTCCAGGATCCAGGTCTTCATCACATCGAAGGCAGCGGCAGTGATCTTTTGGGTCCTTACAATTGCGCACTGTGCCATCTACATGCTGGGGCCCGGGATGTTCCGGCAGCTCCTCGATTTCGTGATCTGGGCCCGCTGGCTGATCTCGACACGTCTTGTTGTTTTGATTGAGGATTTGCTTAGACAAGCTGTTTGAAAAGGTGGGGCTGTACGTAAGCTCTTGAACCTTGGACTCAGTGTGCCCAAGGTGTGGGTGACAGGCGGCCCCCTGGCGATCATGACTGTCACGGAGGTCGGCAGCTGTCAAAACATCCTTTGTGACCCAAAACCCCCAAAGCTCATCACCATCATCATCATCGTCATCAATATCACCATCATCATCACCATCATCGTCGCCATCGTCATCGTCATCATCATCATCGTTACCACCATCATCATCATCATTACCACCACCATCAACATCGTCGCCATCGTCATCACCATCGTCATCATCATCGTCCTCATCGTCGTCCTCCGCATCATCATCGCCAGCATCAACACCATCATCTTCATCACCATCACCATCATCACCATCGAATCATCCCACGCTAGCAGCCTGTGCCCCTGTACGCTAGCACTGCTGTATGCCTCAGACTCAGGTGGCGGTCCGAGTCTCCGCACAGGGTGGCCCCCTGTGGAGGCGGGAGGAGCCTGTGGCAATCGAGATTGATGATCAACGAGTATAAGGCTACCTGCGATAACGGCAGGTGTAGGTTAATGAGTATAAGTATAAGGCTACCTGCGATAACGGCAGGTGTTCATAGGTGTAGGTTGTGATACACAGGACAACCAACAACGCAACACTGACAGTGCAGACACCACCGCATGGAGGAGGGCGGGCAGAAGTAGGAAGAGGAGGAGAGGAGCCGTCGAGCATGAGCTAGAAATTGCTGACAGCCAGCATTATGCATCACCCATCTTACCTTTTCGCTTGGCACTTACCTTTTATCACCAGGTGCTCTGTCATGAAATGTTTCTGGTTTGTTTACTTGTTGCTGCTGTTGCTTTGGTCGTGTTTGTTCGTTTCAGTCCCAGCCTCTTCATGTGTCCAGCTTATGTTGACGGCGTGACTGGTATCTGGCTCGGCTTTTTGGGAGCTGCAATGAATAGTGATTGCTCACCGGGGATGCCTGGAGCCGAATTCGGGCCTTGGCGAAGGTTGGTCTTGTCTTGTCTGACCTGGGTAGGTTTGGCGTTTGTACTATTCATTCGCTGTCACGGTCTTGAAGTCTTGGGCTACTGTGGCATTAGAAGCTGATAAGCTCTCGAGCGTTAATAGGCTGAGAAGCTATCGAGAGCTATTGTGCAGTAAGCTCTGATTCTATCGACATTTAAGAGCGTGAGTGTGCGACTTGAGCGCAAACCTGTGTTGGCTAGTAGTGTTTGAGGAAAGATATGGGTAAAGTACAAATAACAGTACCTGCATAGATGGCAGGAAGTTCAATGGACCCCTCGTCCCGTTTTCTTGCTTGCCTTGCGAGCGCCCGAGTTGAACACTGCAAAGCACAGCCTAAACTTGACAGCAGAGTTTGCCCTCCGTGAAGTTATGGTTCTACAAGAGTTCCGTTGGCTTCGACAAGATTCTGTGGGGTTCAGAGTTGAAGACGGGTGAGTAGTTGCGACAAGGTGGCGATCTTGGCGGAAGGTGATGATACCACTGCCTCTAGCCCGCAGCAGACAAGGTTGGCTTTAGAGTTGATGACAGGGTTTAGGCCCATTTAAGGCTTCGGGGTTTCGTGTTGAACCTTTGGCAGTTCAGGCCTAAGGATGTTGTCTCTTCCCTTAGCTCTGAGTTTATCTTCTTTGCTTTCTCTCAGATGTCAGATGTTCCAGTTGCGATGTGACAGTCTGATTGTCTCCAGCTAGCCCCACAGTCGCACATCCCGAGTTTCTAAGCCCAAAGACGCTCAAACTCTAGCACTAGACTCACCAAGACCCTGAACCCTAAAGCAAAACCCCCTCAGCCCCGAAGCCCAAAGCCTTAAACCCCAAATAGATCCACTTGACAAGGCGAGGACGAGTTTGAGAACGTAAGCCCCGCAAGCCGAGGTATCACCAGCTGGAGGCTCTTGTGCTTGCCCTGATGGCTTACCGCGGCGGGATGGGCATCTATCTCCTTAAACTTGCGTTCCTGGGGCCTTGATCCATTTTTTTTTAGCGGCCCCTGTTTATCGTGCAGCGGCTTACCAGATTTTTACGAAACTCCCAGAAGCCGCCCCTTTTGCCTTAGCCTCAATGCTGATGAACCTCCTCTGTATGCCAAATAGAAGGAAAGCCGCATTTCTGTGGGGAACTGAGGCTTGAGGCCCAGGGCAACCTACCGGCCATGGTGTCGGATCAGGACAAGGCCACCGTCCTCGTGCTCTGTGCCTATCGCGCACTGCGCACGTGGGGGGACTTGCATGGCGTCTCTGTGCATCAGACGCTTCAGCAAAGGCGGCTAAGGGCGAAGCTGAATAAGCTGTGGATGGATGAGTATCAACAAAAGCTGCAAGAGCACCGAGCACGGCTGGTAGTGAAAATCCAGCGCATGGTGGACAGGAAGGTCCCTCAGCTGCTTTTCCTGCTGGCTTCCTTGATCTACTGCGGGGCGGAGGTATTCGACTTCGTGCGCACGTCCCAAGTTCTGGGCTACGTGCTCCTGGTGGCCTTCGGTTGCGAATTCCTCATAAGGACAAAGGCCCAGGGTGGAGAGATCTTCTTTCGGCCCCTCTTTAACAAGCTGGAGTTCTTTGTGCTTACAGCTGGCGCCTGGTGCCTCTTCTATGCCTCCTGGTACACCCAGTACTTGGCCTCCTCCAGAGCCGAAGCTGCGGCCGTGGCCGCTGCCACGGCCGTCCTTCTGCTGCTCCACCGCTGCATTCGGCTTCTGGGAATCCAGCTCAAGGCCTCCCAAAGGGCTCACTATCATGTGCACTTGTAGTTGTGATGATCTGATGATACATGTCGTGGCCCTACATGTTTTCGTCATGTTCATATACTAGTTACTGGGGCGTTTATTGTTATCAGTACTTTCTCCTGGCTGGCAACCCAGACGAATTTGCCTGTTCGGCATTGAACCCAGCCGACAACACCTGAAGGCCTAGATAAGACGAAGGCGGCCACCCTACAGTTGAAGTAGCCGCACACCTTTGGACTCACTCACTGAGAAGAGCATGTGACGAACGGGTTCAGAACAGGTCTCTGCGAGCGAATTCGATGCGGACAGCGTGATGAGCGCCAAGGTGGGTCAGACCTGCAGATTCCTAGGGTTTAGGGCAGTTTAGGGTTTGATCAGAGCCTGGGTTCGAAAAGGGCCTACCCAACACCCGTCATCCTCATCGTCATCACCACCACCATCATGAACCATCAGTACCACCACCATCGCCATCATCATCAACGGCCACTGCTGTGTTGCTGTCGATGATGGTGATCATCCCTAAACCCTAAACCCTAAACCCTAAATCGTTTCTTCCGGCTCATAACCAACCTGGCGGGGGGGGGTCAGGCGATGCAAATCTTCATGGCGAAGTTCGGCACCTTGGTGGACGTTCCGCCGACGAATGTCAAGGTAGACCTACCCAACTCTATGCGCCTGGGCAGCTGATTTTTGGAGAGGTTCGGTTCAGAAGCCCACAGTCTTCAAGATTCCAAACTGAGCCGTGGAGGGGACCCTAATATAGTACCCTAAATAGTAGGGACCCTTATTATAAGGACCCCAAAATAAGGTACCCTAATTTTCGGAAACTCCCAAATCCGCAAGCCTCGACCCTAAACCATGAACTGCAGCACTGTCAGTACGGCATCCAAAAAACCCTAAACCCTAAACCCTAAACCCTAAACCCTGAACCCTAAGTAATGAGAGCGAGGACTGGTACCGTATCTAACTTGAGCTCGAAACCCCTGCACAAAGCGGCCGAATGCAGAAGCCTAAAGAGTTAACGAAGATGATTCCTTAGGGCTGAGGGCTCCTGATTCATATACTTATACTATAAAGGAGCCCCAAAACCCTATTCTAGTTACTAAGGCCCCTACCATCAGACGAAACCGAGGACCCTAAACCCTAAACCCTAAACCCTAAACCCTAGTGTAAACCCTAAATCCTAAACCCTAAACCCTATTCTAGTTATTAAGGCCCGAAACCGAGGATCCACATTCAGAAGGCGAGCCTGAAGCCGGAAGCCTTTGCGCAGCTGCATCTGCCGGTGACCGTCACCGGCGGCCTCATTGAGGACTTCGGACGGTTTAGGGTTCCTTTACAGGGATCTATAAGGGATATAAGGGGATCTATAAGCGGGTTTAGGCTTTAGGGTTTAGGGTTTAGGGTATTTCGCCCTGAACCCGAGAACCCAGAAGAGGGCTCCGGAACCCGAGAACCCCTATGAGGGCTTGAGGTTGTTGTAATTGAATTTTGGTTGTGTTAGGGCCCGACAGGTTATCGTTTGTTTTGAGTTTTGGTTGATTAGGGCTCTACTGGCGGGTGGAGTGCTGTGCAGATTCATTGATTTTGCGATACGGCACTGGCTTCCTGAACAGCTGCATGAGTCGGGGTGAATGTTTGCCATTGCCCATCTTTAGCGCCCCACTCGCCTGACATTTGAAATGGTCCCGCGAGGGAGGGAGAGGGAGAGGAAGAGAGAGAGAGAGAGCGCGAGAAGGGGACAATGGAGGAGTGTTTTTTGGTGCCTTTGCACAAGAAGACCCCAAGCTCATACTGTCTCGGGGTGTAGGCGAGCTTTTAATTTATGCGTTATTGGGTGGTGGGCGTGAGAGGGTTTTGGACACGGCAGCTAGCAGAGGCTTCAGCCGTTCACGGGAGGCCGCAGAGAGCTCATCCAGTCAGTGATGTGGGTCATGTCGGATCTGCGCTGCCGCTGGATCTGGTGATTCATACTCGTAGCCTCGGGCATGTTTCCAGATTGGGAACACGATTCGCCACCTACTCTCTACCATGGGCTTGCCTAAACCCTCAACGACTAAGCTCGGCCTAGACCAGGACCTCTTCATCGACTTCTTCAGTTCCGACACGACGAAGGCCCCCGCAGCCGAAAAGCCCAGAAACCGCCCCCCAAACTCACCCAACTTCGAATGTTGGGGCACACTGGGTTGGGTAGGAGTGAGGAGACATCGGCCGTGACACCTGCAAAGCTAGGCTTTGGGTGACGTTTATGGTCCAACATGCACCAACGCCTTGAGAGCTGTAAGCAAGATCTAAAGACCCGGAAGCCTCCCCATGAACCCAGAGACTCCAAAACCCCTTGACTAAGGAATATACCATAACTATTATTTTATATTAATCGGAACCTTGATATGATTTAAGGTAAATTCCGAAAAAAAGGGTAATGGAACCCTGATATGATGTAAAGTATATTCCTTAGTTAAGGGGGTTTGGAGTCTCTGGGAACACCCCAAACCCTAAACCCTAAA